GGTGTAGCTTTATTTTGGTCATGACTATTCGGAGTTCTATACGCTTCACTGAACCTGATGTCAATTTTGAAACTCATGCTTGGGAAATTTTCAGCTTTTACTTATCTAAATATCCTCTTGATGTCCTTTATGTCATCCCCTTGTTTTTCGTTAATCCCTATCAATCTTATGTTGTTTTTCTTTGTGTCATCTTGCAGTTGTTGAATTGTTATTTCCTGATTCTTTGTTATTTTTAAAAGATCATTCCTTTCCTGTTCACTAGCTTCAATCTTGTCTTCAACATCTGAAATTCTATCTTCACTTTCATTGAGGCTGCTTTTACAGCTTTCAGTGGAATTTTTGATTTCGTATATATCTCTGTGCATCTGCTTTATGTATTCTGTTTGTTTCTTATATTGCTCATCTAGAGATTCTATCTTTTTGTTTAGTTCCTCCAATTTTTAAACTGTGTTTTCTTTAGATATATTCAGCATCTCTTTCATTTCTTTTATCATTTCTTCTTTTACCTGGGAGATTATTTCTATTTTGAATTCCTTTAACGCTTCCTAGAGTTGCTTGTTTATTTCAGTTGCTATAATGTCTGATATTTGAGGTGTATGGCATATATTTTCTTCTATATACATCGCTCCTAAGGTTTCTGAGATGGGCTGGAGGTTAGAGATTGTAATTTGGTCTATCGTTTTGTCATTTTCCTGTATTTCTTGTTTCAAGTGTTTCAAGTGTTATTTGAAATCTTCCACAGGGTCTGTTGGAAATCCACTTAAATGTCCTCAACTCCTGGGACTCTGGCACCTTGTTCCTCCAGGCCGCTGGGCTTCTGGAACCAGTGACACGCACCTGCTTGCTTAGAACTCCACAGTCCTCCAAGCACATGGGGAGGTGGATGCAGGTACCCCAGACCCGCCTAGCTGTTCCAGTGCACCCAGAAGGTGCGAGAATCCCAAATAAGCTGGGCTCCAGGGAGGGTGGGCGCCTGCCTGCTTGCTTAGAACTCCACAGTTCTCCAAGCACAGCTGGAATGGGGAGGCGGATGCAGGCACCCCGACCCCCTACTATTTGCAATTTCTTAGAATTATAGCTACTGTAGTTGTGGTTGCATTTCCATTACAACTTATGAAAATTATCTTTATAAAATGCAAGCTATTCTATAATTTATAAAAATCCTTTAACGGCACAATAACTTTATTATTTTTTCACTAGCTTTATCATTTATATATTGCATATATTGTTTCTATACACACATGCTATATAATATGTCATATCTTGTTATATATAGTGTATTTATATATATTGTTATGTACTATATAGTGTATATATATTATATACATATATTATGTGCTTAAATATTTCTTCTATATGGTATATATTATATAACATATAATATCATATATATCATATAGCATATACAGTGTATAACTTGTATTTACACTATATATCTGTATACTATATTGTATATAGAAGAAATATTTATGTAAATTTAATATACAATTTGAAAACATGAGTTAAAATATATTTATAGATAAGTATGCAATAATTTGATTTGAAGAATTACTGTTTCTCCTTTTTTTCAATTTTCTTAACCTGAATTCTGTTGTTACAACAAAGTAGATAAGACCTTTTTGAGCCAAAACGATTTATTATTTTCCACACAGTGTTAGAGTCAGAGTGTCTGTGATCAGTCGAACCCTCTCTGTGGTGCTAATGATGAGAGTGTCATTGCAGATGGAAAAAGAATGGCACAAGAATTTGAAGCAGAGATCAGATGGCAAGATGGGAAGACGTGAATACTCAGGGTCAAGATGGATCTGCTTATAGTGACTTACTCCACTAGAATTAACTGGAGTGCTTCATAAAATACACAGACATCTTCCAAGTGTCCCCAGTGATCTAATGGTTTTGACAGAAAACATCACATCTTTCTGTACCCACTTTTTCAAATAGCCAAATTGAGACCAACTTTCTAGAATGTGAATTGTGGAGAGCCACCCTCTAACTTTCTTTAACCAAACCATCAATAAGGTGGCCTTGTAAAATTAGAAGAAAATTTAGGATTTGCCCAGAACAAGTTATAAAAAAGGCTGATTTTCTTTGTGAAAGCTATAAATGTCCCAGTGTTGGATGTTAATATAAGTAAACATCTATTGTGTTCTTGACTGTTATAATGTACCTAAAAGTATTGTATGTCATAATTTTATAATAAAATTAATTCTTAAGTTATTCTCTAAGCCTCTAGACTTAAACTATTCCTTCATCCTTTCTGCATGCAAATATTTATTTATTTTCTATTAAATACCTTTGTTTGTTTTTGTTTCGGTAGGCCTATATTTTACCGTTGGAAATATGAAAATTATAATTGGGATGTGTTACAACTGTGCATAATGAAATTTGCAGATTACAAACATATTAATATAAGCTATCTTATTAAAAAGCTTTGATTTGACCACATGTTGACCTACTATATATATTTTGGGGGGAAAGGAGTGTGTATAAGAAATCAACTTAGGACCTTGCACTTGCTGGGAAGGCACTTGTGTCACTAAACTATATCCTTGTTCCTGATCTAATAATATTTTGTATATTTTTATGTAAACATTTGCTAAATATCAACTCTGATTCACTACTTTAAGAACCTATTGATCAAACATAAATACACACACACACACACACACACACACACACACACACAAAGGCCCGAATGTCCCAAGATTTATATTCTAAGTGGGGAGAAAAATAAGTTTAAGCCTACGTCAATATGAACAGAAGAATGTGAATGAAGGATGCACAATGCTTCTCTGTGTGGTCATGATTTCATGGTACTTTTAAGACAGTTGTACTTCAGTTGGCAAGGGGATTATGGCATTTCTAGAATAGAAAACTATACATACAAATTCTCAAAGGAAATAAAATAGTGTCTTCTCATTGTCCAGGGTACTAGGTTTGTGTTCCGTAGTGATAGGACATTGAGACAGAAAAGCTACTCATAGCTGAGTTTATGAAGAACCATGCTGCTGTACTATGAAAGATCAGTGTTTTATATAGTTTACGGAAAACTGAGTCACTGAAAATATATTAGTAGAGAAGATTTATGACAAGTAAGCTTTTACAAATGGCTGCCTTTAAAAATGCTTACAGATACTGCATTGCTTGGAAAAAAATGAAAGACTAAAAATGGAGGTTAATTTAGAGATGATTGCAATAATTTAAGTAAATTTGATTAAGGCTCACTTCAAGACAGCAGAGACAGGACCGGAGAAAATGAGTGCCTAAGAGTTATAGAGGTAAAAATAAGATTTATTGATTTATTAGTTGGAGGAGATGAAAGAATATAAAAGAATATGATGGCTATGGGCTAAAGGGACTCTGAGGACTGCATTGTTTATGAGAAAATAATAAATAAAGAGGAAAAAATAAGAGAGTTTAGGAGCAAAAATGAGAGTTTACACTATGTGGGATGTCTTTAAAGTATGATATGTTCTGAAGAAAATTTAAATATGAGTATTTACCAACTAATGTCCTGTTTGTGTTAGTCAAGCAGAAAAAGCAAAATCTGGCTTACTCACCTGGTTTATTTTCTATAACAGTATAGTAATATAGAGATGTAGAGCTGTTGGCATTGCTGTGTTACTCAACAATGTTTGGATGGACTTCTCTTTCATAATCTTTCTTTTTTTTTTCTTTTAGGTCCTCTGCTCTTTATGAATAATGACTCCTTCTCTATCTGACATTTACACTATAAGCATTATGGAGGATGAAAGAAAAATGACAAATCCTGAAACAAAGACTTTCATACATCCTTGATCCTTTAGATCAACTTTCTGGAAATTCTACTCTGTGTGCATGAGACCAAGAAATTGGAGTTCTTTCTGCCCCTTAATTTAAGGAGCAATGTGTCCCCTGTCACATTTCTTCATCTCTCTAGCGCTGTCTTCAGAAGCTAATTCTGTACAAGTGCATGAAGTCTCTTCACTCAACTCACAAAAGCAGTGGTAGACTGACGGGGTTCCAATCATCCTTGACCCACTGCATGTTTACACTTACTATTATGGGAAATGAAGGCTCAGAATGTCAGAGATGGTTGCTCCAGCCCAAGTCCTTCTCTTGAAGCAGAGACATAGTACAAATCAAAATGAGCTAGAGTCACACACTGAGCTCTGGAGCAGTGAGTGACTCAGGGAATTTAGTTAAAAATAGACTTTGACCAGAGAAACAGTGAGCTACAAGCTTATTTTTCAAGCAACAAACAGAGCCAAGTCTGAAGTTGCTCCTGAAAATGAGGGAGACTTTGGTAGTAAACAATTAAAAAGGGTCCAGTAGCTCTATGAATGACAGGCTAAAAGTCGTTTTATAGTGAAGGCAGAGCTAAACCAAGAAATCCATCTCAGGGTCAAAACAAGCCCCAGAGACTGACATCAAGTAATAATTAACTGAAGATACTACATTTGATTGAATCTGACTTTGAGTAGTATCTTCAAATATGATAAATGCATCTTAAAAGCAGAATGATATAAATAATAAAAGATACACAGATACTCAAACTAAGATTAAAAACTGATTTCACATAAAATCAATGAACTCCACAAGTCAGTCAATGACTTATTAAATTCTGAAAGAAAAGAAATTCCCAACCAAGAATCTTACGTTCAGTAAAATGAAGTAAAGCTATTTCGAAGTGAAGCTAGTTAAATGAGAAAAAAATTATTACAGATCTATCATATAAAAGCACTAAAATAATTACTTGATGAAATTAAGTGTTGCTAGATTACGTTTCAAGTTAACATGAAGCAAACCAAAGGGCAGAACACTAGTCAAACTAATTTTATGTTACAGAAGGCAGCATAAAGGTACATCATTTTTTGTCTTTGCAACTTTAAAACAATTTTACAAAGCAATGCCTAAGTATATTTTATGGCTTACAGTATATAAAAGTACATATGTTTGTGGTATATGTTTGAAAATAAATTGGTGAAGATGACAAAACAGGTGGATAGATAAAAACTTACCTGGACTGGAACAGCCAGATCCTAGCCTCTCCCCATGAGTCAGCACCATTCGTGGACTGGAGGTAGAGAGAACAAGGCCACATGAGAAGGCAAGCCCAATGCATGGGCTACCACTGGACCGGGAAAAGCCAGACCCCAGCCCCTTCTGATGCACAGGTTGGCAATAGTAGATATACCAGTTCCCATTCCCCCACCATAAATGACTGGCTTCTCTGGAGAAACACAGGCTGTGATGATAGCTATGGATGTGGAATGCAATTGGATGCCTGTGGTGCTTTGGTTTTTCACTAACCCTGCAGGTCTAGGGCCAGCGGTCTGATCATAGGTAGAGGATAGTGATACACAATGTGGAATCTGGAAGTGGGGGGAATCTCCTTCTGAGGGTTCCAACCATTGTTGATTCCCTATGGTCTTGTTTTGAAATCCTATATCATTTTCATAGTTTTATTGGGTTGAGTTTTATTCTCTTTTGTTTTGTTTGATTATGTCAAATCCAATGGCAGGAGCAGCTTTATTGATTAGATAGCAAGATTATTATGGTAGCAATTTTGGATCTACTATAGGCTTGTTTTGAAGTCCTTTATTGCATTCATTGTCTTGTTTTTATTTTTTCTATTCTATTCTGTTCTATTTGATTTTTACTGTGTCTGAAGTTATTGACAGCTATTCTTTTTTTTTTTTTTTTGGTCTTTTTCGTTTATATCGGTACCAGAGATAGAATTCATGACTGCCTGCTTGCAAGGCAGGCGCTTATGCCGCTGAGCTAAATCTCCAGCCCCTTATTGACAGCTATTCTGAAGACATCAAAAGGCATTATGGTAACTATTGTTGATTTTGTAATGTTTTGAAGTCCTGTGTTTCTTAGCAGTGGTTTGTTTTGATTGGTTTTATTCTGTTCCACCTCTTTAAAATAAAATAAGAAAGATAAAAATTTACATTAGAATACAAATGATACATTCAAGATAATACTTAAATCCTCAGGAATAAATGGAGAATCAGATATGGTAAATAAGTAGGTTGGTATAATAAACTCTTTTCAGCTATTGTAAAGTTAAAAATTATACCAAATAAAATTATAATAATGAGTTGATGAATGTGAATATCTAAATGCAAAGCATATAATAAAAACACAACTATGGGAATAAGATAGAGCTATGTACAGACTTGAATAAATGACATCTTGAACCCTGGTGCCTACTTCATTCAACAAGAAGTAGAGATAGAGATCATCAATATAGCAAACCACACATTCAACCTTGTGTTTAATTAGAAATATATATTCAGTGCATAGGAAAATAAGGAAAAGACTAATGAGAAGCAAATGAAAATTCAGCTTTATTAGTAAATGGGTATAAATACAAATGCAGCTAATGTCAGAGCCTTAGAATAGATAAAACAAAAATTGAAAGATTTGAAAGGAAAGGAGTGATAGTATCAGTAGCAGTTGGAAATTTCAATATCTGATTGACCCAATATTCAGCAGAAGATCTAGGCAGAAGATGAATAAGAATACATAACATTTGATCAATAAAGGAACTAAAAAACTGAAGGATCTGACATATATCAAAACACTCCATCAAGCAATAGAATGGACATTCTTCTTCAGTGTACATAAAGTCTAAGTAGATAATTTTCTAAATGGTAAAATCAACCTTTACTAATATAAGTAACTGATAGACTTCAATGACTGATTTCTTTCCATAGTAAAATACTTAGAAGTCGGAAACTGAAAGGGAATTAAGAAATTCACAAATACGTACAAAATTAAATAATATATTAAATAGCAAATGATTTCAAATAATAAAAGGGAAATCAAAATATATTCTGAGGTGAATGAAATGAAAACACAGCATTGCATGCTTTATAGAATGCATTCAGAATGACTCTTGGAATACAGAAATGGCTTCAAATCAGTAATTTAACCTACTGCCCAAAGAAAGAAAAAAAAAATCAAAGCAAATGTAAAGGAAACAAAAGAAATTAAGTAATAAAAATTCTAGTGGAAAAAATAAAACAATAAGAGAGTAGGAAAATATAGAAAAAAAAACAAAATCAAAAGTTGTTTTAACACCTTGAAAATTAATTTATGTTTTACATCACACTAAAATAAAATAAAATATAAGCCAATGACCATCTCGCATACTCAGGAAAACATTTGATAATATCCAACCTATTTTCATGATAAAAACTCTCAATAAACTAACAGTTGAAAGAAATTTCTTCAACTTCATAAGAGACACCTACAAAATCCCATAGCAAATATCATTGACAATGGTGAAGTCCGACAGTTTTAAACCTACATTCAAGGAACAAGACAGGAATTTACACTCTCTAAACTTCTAACTGCGAGTATGTTCTAGTAAAAATTTAAATTTAGATTAAGAAAACATAAAATTTTAGGTATTCTGTAAATAACTAAATAAGTAAATAAATAAACAAGTAAATAAAATTATTTCTGTTCCTGAAAGCTAGGAATAATAATGAAACACAGAGCATCAAAGTTGGAATGGACAGAGTAACACTGTCTCTATTTGAAGATCTTTGTGTAAAGAAAATTTTAATGAGAAAAACTTTTGGTTTCATGATTAAAAGACAATAATGCTAGTATGACAATACTTTCTAAATCAATCTATAGATTTAATACAATTCCCATCTGTCAGAATTTTAGTTTGGTTTTGGCTGAAAATGATCTAAAATCTATCTGGCTTTCAAAGGACTCAGTATAACTACACAGGAGAAAGATAACTGGAAGACTCAAATTTCACAATTTCAAAACATTACAAAGATATATTAATCAACAAAATAAGTTACTGACATAACGGTTGACACAGCGATGAAATACAATGGTGCAGGCATAGATAAATCACTACATTTGCATCAATTGACGGATAGCACGATCTTTTAACGGGAGAAGAGGGATGCATACCACTGAGCACCTACACTTTTTTTTTCAATTTTTAAATGAAGTTGAGTCTTTCTTTGTATCATCTACAAAAATTAACTAAACCAGAATCAAATACCTAAATGTATGAACTAAAATTGTAGGAATACGTTTTTGTAGTAAAATTTTTGACCTCAGATTAGGAAAACACTTCTAACACGTAGTTTGCAAGGTGAGAAAAATAAATGAATAGATAGTTTCAAAAATAAAAAATTCTTTTGCTTAAAAGGGTACCTTTAGAAGTGAAAAAGACAACTCATTGAATGTGAGAAAATATTTTCAACACATATCTACTAAAGGATTTGAGTCTAAAATGCATAAAATAAGTCTCACAATTTAAAAAGTGGAGAAGGACATTGTTTTTGGGGTCTGCAAGAGCCACTATATTCATATATTAGTAGTGGGATTCACAGGACTATTCTACTCACAGTGGTAACTTATTACAGATTAAAGAATACAGATTAAAATAATAAAAGGGTAAGTGCATATTAAACAAAGTATCCAACGTGTCAGATATGAGGTTTTAATTGTTCCCTCTCATTGTGACCTAATGAACAATGCTTAATTGTCCTATCAGTGATGTGTAACATAGCACAAAGTGTCGGTAAATAAAAAATCTGATTTGATCCTAGCTATCTTGGGTTTTATTGAGGGGCCAGGGAAATAGACATAAAATACATACTTGATTGATCTTAGTTCTTTAGTGCCCAGATTCCATAGAGGGAGGATTGATGTAAGTTGTCCTAATGTTTCCACTAAATATTTATTTTATACTGTTATCATAAATTACATGCCCACACAAAATCTTGGAAATAAGTAGTAGCATTTCTTAACTTGAAAGTGTAAATGACTCAGATGTTTATTAACTGGTGAATAGGTAAGTAAAACATAATTTATTGGTACCATAAGATATTATCTGCAATAAAACAAATAATACTGTAATGTAAATGCCTTGAATGCATTGTACTAATAAACCTATCTCAAATTACAACGTATAATTCCTTTTAATTTATTCAGAATAGTATATTTCTAGAGGAGAATAATACTTGCCTAAAGGGGTAGCATAGATAATGGGGACACAGTTTCTTTTTGGCTTGATGAGAATGATCTATAATTATGATGATGGGTTGACAAATTTTGCAAATCTAATGAAAAGCATTTAATTTTAAATACTAAAAGAATATAGGACCTGTGAATTAATTATTTTGGTATTAGATAATAGGTTTTACTTTCATTCACATGGAGATGTAGTGTAAAAAATGTTTTGGAAACAGCTATGACTCTGTCAACAAATATTACTAGTTGTTATATTGAGTATGCAAATAGTGACGTATCACCAGGACCATTGTACAACTGGGTGATGATACACTCTAAAACCAAAAGCTCTTTACTATACAGGTGAGGAAGGCTATAGGAACCCAGTTCTCTGAGTGGTGGGAAGAAGAATGGCTGTGTATCTTGTAAGTCTCGCTGTTAATCTTTTATGGCAGAATATGTAGAATCCATGTGGAATCATGCTAGGCGCTTCTTAACAATTGTCCCCTTAACCGGATGATTGTCTGCATACGCTGAACAACAATAAATTTTATGGCCAGCAGTTCTTCTGCTGCGGTATTGTTCTAATGTTTCTTGCCAAAACATTCTTTCTGCAACCTGGTATTGTATCTCAATGTTTCAAAATTGCACAGTTTTTACTGCCCTGAGCAGTACTCTGATGAATTTCTGTGCCATCGTTCACATTCTCTCGGCTGGAATTCCCTCACTGACTCTCAATTTCAGCATCAAAAATAAGGTTTTTGTTAATTTTATTGATAAATTTAGATATACAAGTGGCCACATTTATAATAAGAAGTTTGTAGTTCTACATAATATATCTTGATTTTTCTATTCCCCCATCCCCTCTCCTCCCTCCAGCACTCTCCCCCTCCTTATTTAGAAAAGCTTATGTCCATTTTTTCCTTTTCTTCTTTTTCCTTTTCCCTTCCTTCTTTTCCTCCCTCCCACGTCCCTAGTTTCCCTTTCCATTTGAACATTTTCTTCCCATTTTCCAATATTTATTATACATTTTGGTCCTTATTTACACTTTCAGTTTCTCACATCAGAAAAACAATGCCT